AGAGTTCCTCCAAGTGGCCAAAATGGAGGAAAAACCCAGTCCTCACTACTGCTGACGGGGTATTGCAACATCAAACTTGTCATTACTGGGCTGGATCCCAGCTGGGTACAATGGTGGAGCATCCCCGTGTGGCCTGAACAAGTACAGGCTGGGTGGAGAATGGCTTGAGAGCAGCCCTGAGGAAAAGGACTTAGGAGTGCTGGTGGATGAGAAACTCAACATGAGCCGGCAATGTGCACTGGCAGCCCAGAAAGCCAACCATATCCTGGGCTGTATCAAAAGGAGCGTGGCCAGCAGGTCGAGGGAGGTGATTCTGCCCCTCTACTCAGATCTCGTGAGACCCCACCTGGAATACTGCGTTCAGCTCTGGAGTCCCCAGCACAAGAAGGACATGGAGCTGCTGGAGCGGGTCCAGAGGAGGGTCGCAAAGATGATCTGAGGGCTGGAGCACCTCTGCTATGAAGACAGGCTGAGAGAGTTGGGGCTGTTCAGCCTGGAGAAGAGAAAGCTCTGGGGTGACCTTATAGCAGCTTTCCAGTACCTAAAGGGAGCCTACAGGAAAGCTGGAGAGGGACTTTTTACAAGGGTGTGTAGTGATAGGACAAGGGGCAATGGATTTAAACTGAAAGAGGGGAGATTTCGATTAGATATAAGGAAGAAATTTTTCACTCAGAGGGTGGTGAGGCACTGGAACAGGTTGCCCAGGGAAGTTGTGGATGCCCCATCCCTGGAAGTGTTAAAGGCCAGGTTGGACGAGGCTTTGGGCAACCTGGTGTAGTGGAGAGTTTCCCTGCCCATGGCAGGGGGGTTGGAACTAGATGATCTTTGAGGTCCCTTCCAACTCTAACCATTCTATGATTCTATGATTCTAACATTACAGATACCCCTAGCTGTGCCCTCAGGCCACTAATGCTCAGCAAGGAAGCAGCGTGTTTGAGGTGGCCAGCGTGGGCCGGCATGGCTGCATGGCAGCCAAGCACAGGGTTCAGCCCTGCTGTTCCAGGGGTTTCATTGCAGCAGGTGCCTCCAGGGAGTACGGCCTTGTCCTCTCCTCTCCACAGGCCAGCCAGCTTCTTAGCACATAAAAAATCATAAAAATTGACCTCTCCAAAGGGCTTTAGAAGATATATTAATTTGCCGGAGCTTGGTTCCCTCCTGGCAGGGATCATTGCTGCCCATAGCTCAGGTCTGGTCCCATCTCTGCAGAGGGGCTGGAGGTGTGCACTGCTTTTTCCATAAACTCTTTTTAGAGAAGCATCATTAGGGGTAAATGGGATTTTGTCTGTTTCTCCTGACCCCTCATCCTAATTTAATTGAAAAAAGATCCCACACTTGAGATGCTCCCTGGAGCTATAGCCTGAAGCAGTGCTTAGGCGTAGTTAGATGGACGTGGTCTGGTGATCAGGGACTCAAAATAGCTGTAATTACCACGTCTCATTTTGGACCAACAGCAGCATCACAGCTATTTCCAGATTCTGCTTCCTGCAGGTGCTGGTCTGCCCCTGCTGTTGGGGTGTCTGCCCTGTGCCAGCTAGTTTTTTTTCTCTCTCTTTTTTAAAAATTCACTTATTAGCAGCATTTAAAAAGAGTAACGTCTACCTTTTGATCTAGGTGATATCCTATCTGGAACCAGTGCGGATGCTTTTCTCCATTGACCTACCTTAGAGAAACTCGGTTACAAACACGGGAGGGACTAGTTCGGGAGACTCATTCTCTAATTCAGTGTCCAAATTAAACTTTAACTAAGAATCCCATTAAAGCCAGAATATTTTATTACCTCTACATAAATCTCAATACTTGTATTTGGAACCTTAAAAGATTTTTCTGTATAATCAGCCAAATAAATTTGCCAGGACTGTAGAAAGTTGCAGGGAAGATTTAGTGCTGGCTCCTTCTGGGAAGAAGGTGGAAGAGAGAATTACTGGGAAGCAGCAGGAGACAAAAGCCATCCTGGTCTGACTGAATCGAGACTCTCGCTTTCTGAGTGGTGGAAAAATTGCAGAGGAACGCAACCAGGACGCTGCGCACAGCGTTATTTGTAATCTGTTCTCATATGTCATTATCTTGCTGCCTGGAGGCATTTTAACAGCAGCTTACCCACCACCCACAAAATCCATTAGTTTAAACAATAAAAATGAGCCGTTTGGCCACACAGCAATGGCCTTAAAATTGCTTTGCTAAGTGCAGATATAATGAGGATGGAGACTTCGGAGCTGTGCGAGGATCATGACAGACCTAATGGAAAATACAGCCGCTGCGAGCTCTCCTCCGTAAGGGCAACACCAGGCTTTGGCTTGCTTTTCCTAGACCACCCTGTAGCTGGAGAACCAAATTTAGCCAGAGGCAGGTACTGAATGCAGAGCATGCCACATATACGCATGTTTTTTAGGGTGGCTCTTCTAGCAAGTGCCTGATAATGTCTGAAGCTTCACCTCACATCTGGTACTCATTAAATCTGAGTCAGTCTGTGAAAACCAACCAGAGTGGGACCACCAGCATCTTCAAAAGCCTACAGGTGCGCGAGCAGCTGAGGAGGCTGGGGCTGGCCCTCATCCCTGCCCAGCACCGCTCCCCCTTGCTGGGGACCACCCTCGCCAGCTCTGCTGATGGAGTGTAAGGGCTCCCTAACCCCATTCTGTCAAAATGACTCAGGCTAGAAAACTTTTCCCATTAAACGTATCAACTCAACAGCCAGGGATATTTTTATTTTATTTATTTCCTCCCCCCAGGAGTAATTTCCTCAGGGCTGGGGAGCGGAATTCTGTTTCCAGCCCATAGCTGCATGCAACCGCCCCGCTCGTTTTATTGCTGAAGTGGACGCTGCCCAATCAATCCCGCACTCGGGAGCAAGGTGCTTAGCTGCTGTCCCCTGTCAGCTTCTCTACTTTATGAGCCTGTCAAATTGTTTTTATTCACTTCTAATATAATCTTTCCACAACAAGGAGCTTGCACGGCTAGAGACGGGCAGGAGGCTGCCGCAGTTACCTGGGAACTGTGATAAATTGCTCAGCAGCTTTTCCGGGGGGTTGCAGCAGCCGTGGGAGCGTTTGTCTCGAAGTTTCAGGAACTTTGTTCACCCTCTGTGCTTTACGTGCACGTCAAGGTGCGCAGTTACTGCTTTTCTTTCGGGAGTGTGCCTAGGTGGAAGGAATCGTAAAAATCGATCACTTAATAAAATCACTTAATAGTAAAACTGAGTGATTAATTAAAAGCTGGTCCACGAGTAGCAAGAGCAGCACCAGCGTCTCACCACACAAATAACCCCACACCAGGACGCTTGACTGTCTGGGAATTACTGTTCTAAGTAATTGCACTTTTCTATAACTGGGATTGCATGGGATTATGGTATTATAAATGAGATTTCCTCTAAAGGCCAGTGGCCCTCTGTATCTTATGGATTACTCCAGTTTCTCCTAAAAGGAATTTTGGTAATGCTTCTTTAATGAGACTGCACTAAATTGAATTACATCCTGCCTTCCCCCCTCAGTGGGATCTTCTTCTATGATACTGGACACGTGCATAGAAGAGAGTCTTATGTATTCCTTTCTAGGGCGTATGCATGGCCCATGTAACAAGACCTACACAAACAGACATGAGCCGAACCCTAAATATTTTTGAAAGAAGAGATTTTTGGCTCTTTTGGAGCAATCTGCTCACCATCACCCATTATTCTGGCCCAAACAGTCCAGCTTTAAAACCAGAGATGGTAAATCCTCTGAGCACAGCCTGCAAATTCTTTATGTAACACTGGTACTCGCAGTCCTAAAAATAAACACGAACCCTTGCCAGGGCTCTGATCCCTTGCGCCAAGTTCCCTTGATAGGGCGGGGATGGGAGAGCAAAGAGAATAAACACGTGGTGGGTGACAAGCAAGGGGAAGCTCTGCAGTTTTTTCTGCGACTGGTTCGGAGTAGGAAGGTGCCTCTTCATCATCCTGTATCCTGGCAGGTGGCTTCTGAAACTGCCTGCCCAGCCTGTCTGCTGGGCACACCCCCCTGGCCAGCTGGCCAGCACAGCGGTGTCCCAGGCCAGCAGGTGAATCGACTGAACAGGTGAGGTTTTGTGGAAGGTCATGGATGGGGAAGAGGGACAAGTCAGTGAAAAAAGGCTGGAAACTGTAGTCTTGCCGTAGTTGAGGTCTGGAGTGACTCACTCACAGCCCTGAGCTGTGCAGCCCCACTGCAGCCACCCTTCGTCCCGCTGCAGAGACCAAAGCTGCAGCCAATGCTGGAGAAGAGGCTGCCATGGCTTGCAGATAACATGAGTTCACAAGAGGCTTTCCCTGGATACATCTTGCTGTCTTTATTCTACTCCTAGCTCTCTTTCCTCAGTCCTCCTTTATCTAACTCGCTTGCTGTAGAGAAAAATTTATTAACTTTCTTTTTCATGCAACATGCACCTCGTTTTACTCCATAACCCAGCGCGTAGCTCCAACTGATCTCCAAGCTCAACCCGAGGGGGTCCTTGCTGTGAGCTCGGTACAAAGGCCGCCTTGAAGATCACCAGGTCTGCTCACCTGCTGTGGTCTCCCCTCCCTCAGCAGGTGAGCCCTGTGCCGTGGGTCACTGCGTTCCCTGTGCCCCTGGAAAGCCAGGGGCTGAAGGACGCTCTCAGCCACCCTTCCAGCAGGCAACAGGCAGAAGGTGCCAGGCTGGCGTCTCACCAAAGGCTTCGCCCCCTTCCTGCAGCTTTTGGGAAAAAATTACCGTTGGTGCTGTTTTACCCTTCCTGGGCACCCGCTGTCATGCGGCAGTTCCAGGCTGGACAGTCTGGCAGCCTGGGAGGCTCCTCCTCGCGCTCACCAATGAGGCACCTTGCAGGGCATCGGTCTCGCCAGGATGCCCACAGCAACGGAGCAGCGCTGGCGGGAGGAGAGCTCGCGGGCAAGTCGCTCCGGGGATGGATGGGGAGAGGCAGGATGTTGGTCATTCTCGCCACGCTCCTTTGCAGGAGCGAGGGGGTGGCTGGTTGGCGCAGAAACACACTACGACACCTACGGCTCCTCCGGGAATGTGTTTATTTACATTAAAACACTATTATACAAACGGAAAGGAAGAAAGAAGACAAAAAAGAGACGATGTCCAAGAGGGGCAGATGTGCCAAAGTCGGCGCCCCTCACTCCTGCCCTGTCTCGCTGCCGCCTTCCGTCCGCTCTGGTCCAACTGTGAGTGCTGCAATCCTTGTAGGAAAATCCCTTCCCAACCCTCTCTGTGTGTGAATATCCACATTTTCCGTTTAAGTGACTTTCAGAAATCTTTGTTTTCTGCCTCTAAAGAAAACTCTTGCCCAAACGTTTTTTTCTTAATTTATTTATGTAACACAGTGTAGAAAGCTATCAATTCATAAGCAATGGTTCTGTACAATCATCCTGCAGAGGATCCCTGTTAATTTTCGACCAGCAGGCACTTTTCCCCCCCAGAAGTGCTCACAATTAACAGGGATTCTTTTTTAATATTTTTTTAAGATCAAAAAGATACATGGAAAAGAAAATAAAGTTTACCTTTCAATGCCTAAAGTGTGCACATAAAACAGGCACAAAGAAACGAATGTGTATTCCCATGATTTCTACGTCACTAATACAGCAGGAGCAACAATCTGTACAATAAAATGCAGCTGCAGAGGAAAAGAATTTCAGTAACTCATCTGGAATACTTTTTAAAAAATGTTGTTTTACTTTAAAATGCATAGTGATCAGAAAAAAATGCTCAGCAAAGAGAAGCAGCTAAACCCCACAGACACGGAAAGCATCCCCCATCAATTCTTAAAGCATATTTCAATTAGGACTTAATTTTTGTCACAAATCACAAGAATAATATACAACTGGCTAAGGAGCTACATGATAAATAATTGGGAAAGAGAATCTATCCATGCACTAGTTAAATACAGCTAACCTCTTTACAGTACACAAAAAACATTCATTAATAATGTATTGTAAAGACTGAAATGTAAAGAGAAAGAGAGAGAAAATACATTACTGATTTTGTTAATTCAAGTTCAGGCATCTACTTGTGTTACAGCACAGCTGTCAAAGGCGAGAATGAGTAAATAATAAAACAGAGTGTTTTTCTTTCTTTCCACATTATTCTATAACTGAACACCAATGGGCAGTGAAGCACTCATTCTGCTGTCCAACTCATGAGGCTGCTGTGGTGTCCTAGTTCTGCATCTGTTCAAAGAACTTGTAGGTGGGATTTTCATAGCCATTTTGCTGCATCTTGGAAAGGTGGCGCTCCTCTGGTGTCACTGCAGCATCCACCTGTCGCAGGAAGAAACAACCAGGGTCAGACTCTTCCTGAATTCACAGCATATCCCACGTCTCCCCACTTCACGGCCATCCAACATACTTTGTACCCTCTCCTGCGCATTCAGGCAGAAAGCATCCTCTGAAACATCAGACAGAGTTTGTTTGGCAGGTTCTTACCTGGCCCCCTCTTTTTTTTTTTTAAATTAAGAGGGGAAAGTAAGTTAGGTCTTAAACTCAACCCAAATCTCCTAAGAAAGTCTAAAAGAAAGGTGGCTGGGAAGTGATAGGGATACTTCTCCATTAAACAGAGTATTAAACCTAGTACCTGGAGGCTGTATCATTGTCTGAAGAAACAACTGTCTCTGAAAACTCTTCCCTCCAAGTTACACAGGACTGCAGGTGGCCTCACAAACAAAATCAACAGACCCCACTGCACCCAGCAATAAATGAGAAGCCAGCAGACAGCTTTAAAGAGCAACTTGCAAGAGACAGCCTTTCCAGCTCGGACAGTCGTGGTTCACTTTTTGGACACAGTAACACACAGGAGAAGACAACGCAACAGGAACAATTCTGCAACCCATTTTTTTGCTGCAAGACTTCAAAAAGTTGACCAAACTCTGCAGTACCAGCTTTCGTTTTTGTTGTCTGGCTCAGGAAGCATGCAACTCCACAGATAAAAAAAAGGGATATATTTTGCATCTCCCCACTAGTCCCCTATTACTATTTTTTCCCCCTCCTGAGATATATATCAGTATCTGTACTTGGGACCAACTGGATCTCAAAAAAAAAGAAAAAGCTCACTAAAAAGCTGAAGGAAGTGGCTTGAGGATGCCTTTGGTCTACGCCGTGCTCTCAGATCTGCTGCAGATGCTGTGGTCTGAAGACCAAGAAAAATTAGTAAGAAAAAATGAGGGTAGCAAGGAAATGCCAGAGTAGTCAGGCAACAAGGTGAGCAAAAAATTCCATTGCACTCACGGGAATGGAACTTCTCTGGCTCCAAGGTTGAGTTTGGTTCAATGTAGTGAAAAAGCTTGACGTGTCTGCACTGGTTTAAGTACTTCTACTTAACTAAAATTGACCTTTCTTGATTACTTGGAAGACAGGCATAAAGTCAAGACTTCTCTGTTGAATACCTGGGCAGCTCCACAAATTATTTCCTTCCTTCACTGAATGTTACAGAAATATAAAACTCCATCAAATTAGAGTGGGCGAGAACAGTCTCTAAATGTTAATAAGGTATTTCACCTCTGCTGTAAGAGCTCAATAGCCGTTGGGTATTCAAAACCTACCTGTATCCTGGCTATCTTGCTAACCACCTATGAACACAGAGCTAAGAAAGCCTGCTTGTCAGCTATTTCATCTCCTATCTGTTATCTCTAGTCTTTGACAGCTCTTAAGAGAGAAGGCAAAAAGTGAATTTTACATTGTCAAAAATTTTAAATCAGGAAGGTGCCTAAGACTCTACACTGAAGTACTACGTACGAACATTTTCCTGTGGATTCTTCTAAGTAGTGACCTTTAGGAAAAAAACAGTCATTTTAGCATAAAAATAGCCTTTTGGATAATGGAAAGTGTATTCTCTCAAGAAGCCTTACATAGCAGGCTAAGTTACTCTAACCTTTTAATAAAAAAGCAAAGGGGAAGTATTTATGTCCAATACTCATTTTAAATCTACTCTACAATACTGGGAATAACTCAGCTTAGTGAGGACAGACTATGACCTTCAGTAAATTGTTACCTGATACCCTGGAGAAAGATTAAAGGTATGTTCTTCCACGCTTGGGACAAACGCAGGCTGCTCAGCTTATTTTTGCAGCCAGTCTTTTGTTGCGCTAGGCTATACCACAGGACCAAATGGAAAATGGCTCCTCTCACAGTCATCCTCTGTTTACATGTTCTTTTCTTTGTTGCTTAGGAGAAGAAATGGTTCTGTGTAGGGAGGCTGCTCAGACGAACTGCTAATTCCAAATGTGATCTATTTTCTGTGTCCCTTTTAAATCTCCTTGTTCATGTTCCAAATCTCAAATTGCACTTTCAATCAACACTGTGTCTTCCATGAAATCTCTTCTTCTTATGCCATAATTGTACATTTGTGTGAAATACCCAACTTTAAGGGTCTGCTTTTGCTCACAGGCTATTGTGAAACTCTCCATTGCTGGGAGTCCTGAGCCTTCCAAGAGGCCCCTGACTCCTGCCAGCAGGGAACAGGACACCTGGAAGAAAGAATCACTGGGCTGAGCTGACACGGTGCTCCCTGTGTTTGATTCTCAAACATAACTTGGCCTTTTTTTACTGTTAAAATACTGCCATTTGAAGGCTAGTTTTCTCTTTTTTTTTTTTAAAGTTGGATTTGCATGGAGCAATTCTCTTACGCAACAAACCCAAAATACATTTTCACCTCCTGTGACAGGCTCTCAGGCAGTGAGATCCTGTTTAGAAAGAGGTTGCTCTTGCTTTAAGCTGCTATTTCCAGATTTCTCTTGTTTTAGAAATTAAGGGGGGGGGG